ATTCCTTGTACTCTTATTATTTACTTTCGTCTTGTATTGCATTTGTGTTCCCAATAACATTATGCTCATTTTATAACAAGAAAAGTAAGTACCAACATATAAATTTTTTGATGTAGGACTTCTCTTCTCACATTCTCACAGATTTTCCTATCATTATGATCCTTCAACACTACACGTCCAACCCCTTCTGCATTGATCTGCATTGAGACTACTGTTGTCGACAAATCTGAATTTGTCTAGAGACACATTATTAATCTTGAAGAACCAATCTCTTCTCTCAGTCATATGTGTGGAGCACCCCGAATCAAGGTACCAAGAAAATATTTTTTTTCTATATTTATATCACTGATTTTGTTAAGTATGTGGAGTCTAACGTGTTATTGGACCCCCACATAAATTCACTGATTTATATCATTGAAAATATTTATATCAGCCTCCAAGTGGGAGATTGTTAAGTATGTGGAGTCTAAAGGGTTATTGGACCTGACCCATTTACTTTGACTGAACCACGCAAATTTCTTGTGTTCTTATTATTTACTTTCGTCTTGTATTACATTTGTGTTCCCAATAACATTATACTCCTTTTATAACAAGAAAAGTAAGCACTAACATATAAATTTTTTGATGTGAGACTTCTCTTCTCACATTCTCACAGATTTTCCTATCATTATGATCCTTCAACACTACACGTCCACCCTATCTTGTTTTTTTCTTTTTGAACATTTTCTTTCCTTTTGAGGTGTTGTCTTTTCCTTTCTGGACTGTTCTAACTTGAAAAGTCTACTCTTGATTATGTCTCCTTTCATTAATCTTAAACTCATGCGCTTCAAGAGAATGTTACAAAGTTTCTACTTCCATCTCCTCCAAGTCTTTTGTTTCTTCAATTATAACTCCAATGTATTGTTACATTGGAATTAACATGGTATCAAGAACAAAGTTTGTCTTGTGAGTGAATTGAGATTTTTCTGATCTTTGTTATCAGCGTTTGGGTGAGCCTCGATGTACGATAAACCAATATATTATTATGTTGGAATTAATATTTTGTACTTTTACACAATTATCCTCCTTTTAGTCTTTGTTGTAATAGGAGAGAACCAAATCTCAATGAAAGAAAATATATTCTTTTCTAACAATAATAATTCTCTATAAGCATAAATAATAAATGATAAATAATTGAATACTAAAAAATCTATTCTTCACTATATAAGAATTGATTCTATATATTATTGTTAAACATAAAAATTGATTATATTATTATTATTACTAAAAGTGAGAATAGATGCTCACTTTAACAATCTAATAAAATTAATTTTTATTAATAATAATAATAATTATTATTATTATTAAAAAATAATAATAATTAATAATAAACATAATAATAATAATTACTATTAATAATAAACATAATAACAATAATAATTATTATTAATAAAAAATAATAATAATTTATATGATTATAATATTTTAAATAATAATAATAATAATAATAATTATTATTATTATTATATTAACATTCGTATTAATAATCATTTTAATATGATAAATTATTATAATAATAATTATGATAAAAATAATATTATTATTTAAAATTATAATAATAATAATATTTTTTATAATTTATATTAATCAAATTACTCACAAATTTTCATAAATTTTTCTTTTGTTTCCCTTCTTACCATTTTTTCTTGATCCAAACAATCTACTTTTACATCTCTTCTTCTCTTTTACTTTAAATCTACCATTTTTCACTCCTTTAGATTCATCCTCTAATCCAAACAAAAATAAAAAATAAGTTCAATTAATATAATATATAGTATCATCTCATATATTTTATGTACTCCTAAATTTTCTATTTTCCATTAGCCATGATAACAATGATAATTATAAAATCGTGATTTATCATGACTACTCAAATCTTTGTCACTAGAAATTATTTGGAGAAATCCTTAAAAACAGAACAAAGTCTTTAAAATTTTGTAGCTCTAGTACAAAATGGGTTTTTACATTACCTAATTCTTGTTAGACCAAAAAATAACCAACTTAAAAAAAATGCGGTGGTATTTTTGTAAATAAGGAATGCTACTTTTACGTTGGACCTCTTAGAGATCGACATAAAAGCTACTTTTTACATCGGGTGACTCCTTAACCAACGTAAAAAACAACTTTTACGTTGGCCCCTATGAGATCCAACATAAAAGTCGCGTTTTAATCATTCCAGGGCTTCTTTGTTTCCTCCCGCGTGAGGGTTTTCTAGTGACTATGGCAACAGTAACCAAACTAGCTCTTCTCAAAGGTACATTTCGACCACATTGAGTGACAAAAACACTTATATTGTGTCCCATTTATGGTGGCTGATGTTTCTCTTTGATTGAATTCGATTTTTAGAGTGTTTTTTGTATATTTGAGGTTAATTAATGTTCTATGTATGTGTCTCCTCTTTTATGTTGAAATTGAATATGTGATTATTTTTGGGGATCTTAATCACGTTATTGCATGAATGTCTCCACTGGATTGTTATTGCAATTGAATTGTTGTAGTTTTTTATTATTTGTTTATGCGCTTGAGTGAATTTACGGTTTATACATTGCATTTTATGCTTTCATAGTTTAGTTATTTGAATTCTACATTTTTTATTGTTTGTAGTTTGTATATTAATTATATAATAATTTGTAGTTTGAATTATAATATGATATGATGTGAAGAGAAGATATTACATTATATTGGATTTAGGGTCTTATGATAATGAAAAGAAAACATAAAATGTCCAAAGAAGGATAAATTTTAACTCCAATATCGAATTTGTATGCACAGCATATGAAAACGAAGGGAAAAAACCAAAAAGAGGGGGCAAATTCTCGAAAGAGATTTGTCTTAACAATTTTTCCAAAATACACTCCTAAACATATGTTATAGACCAAAGTATGTTATAATAATATTATGTTTTGTTTCTCAATTCAGTGTAATAAGCATGATGGTATTGAATGAGAGTTATAATTATGTGAGTATAACTGATTGTTTGACGAAAGTAATTGTTTTCCATATTTGTTAAGTTCTTTTTCTTTTATGTGTATTATATATTAACATGAGTCAAATTAATGTTTCAAGTATTTCAATATTCATTCATCTCCACTATTATAACATGATATTACACAAATTAGAGAACAATGAGTAAAGTTTTTCTTTCAACATTTCTAGTACTTAGTTTGTAGGTTCCTGTAAATATTGAATTATATAGTTTAACATTTAGGTAACTTAGTTTTTGTATTAATTTAGACTTTGTATTAGTTTAGTTTTGTAATGTTTACCTTTTAAGTAGTTTAATATTTGTACTAATTCGACTTTGTATTATATTGTATTGTATTGTCTGTATTTTTAAATTATTTTCGATTGAAATATAGACTAGCTGTAAGATAAAACAAATCGAATATTAAAAAAAAGACAAAATTTATGTCGGGTCAGGACATACCTAACGTAAATTTATATCAGTTATACCCCATGTCCGACGTAAATTTATGCTGGGTATGCCCCAGGTCCAATGTAAATTTACTATTGTAATTATATCCGACATAAATTTACGTCTTCCATATTAATGTCAAACTTGTTTCTGACATGAAAAAGCCAGAAATAACATAAATAAAAGACGTAGTGTAGTGCAGAGGTGAATGAAATAACGTGAGAATATCTTTGAGGCTTGATAAAGAAAAAAGAGAAAAACAAATAACGATTTTTTTTATTAGTGTATTTAAAAGTAATATGTAAAAACTAATTAATATTGTTTTCATGAAATTGTTTGAAAATTGACACTTTTCAAAAATGAGTTTTGCTTTTTTATTTTTAAAATTAAAAAAATTAAAAATAATAAAACTTAATTTTTTTATTATAATTTTTATTTTACTAATAAATATTTATGTTTTATTTAGTAATTACATTAAATCACTTATTCTAATTATTGTAAAAAAATTTAAATTTATTTTTTAATCTTTGTCAAAAAATATATCGTTTAAAAAAATAGAGTTATCAAATTTTTAATTTATTTTAAAAAATAAAATTTTAAAATTAAGCTCTATTTAAAAAAAAAAAACTAAAACATTTTGATCACTTAAAATATTTTTAATGAAAACAACTCATACATTGTAAAATATAATTTATAATCTTTATTATACTACATATTATTTAAATATAAACGAAATGATAGAAATAATTTGAAACATAAATCTCAATTTAAAAGAATAAAATATGTTATATAGATTCATTTCAATGAAAATAAAAGATTCTCAAAGAAAAACAATTTCTTAAGAAGATATTTTCTTAAAAATACTTTTTTAAGAGATGATGCTTCTGAGTTTTGTTATAGAGTTCGATAATAATAATTTTTTACTTTCCTTATATGAAAAAGTGGGAAGAGAAAATTTGAATTACGATAAAAAAATGCATATATTAATGAACAAGTAAAAGGTTGGTTGAACGAGGACATTTAGAAAGAGTAACCACTTAGAAAAATCTAGAAACATTAGATAAAAAAATCAAATATAAATTAGTTAGATATATGTGGATAGTCAACTAAAGTCTCACAATTTTCATTGAACTCATATTTTTGGCTAAAATTGCCGTTTTATTTAACATAACATTAGAAGAAATAATTATAATTTTCCTTAAAATAAATCTTAATTATTACTCTATAATTTTGTAATCCTGTAATTTAATTGAACATACATTAATATAGTATATCTACGAATGAAATTTATTCCATCTTGTTTCATATACCCAGCGTTAATTAGATCAAATTCAAATATAAGATAAATTAAAAGTTTGAATTATAAAAAGGTCCCTCCAGTTTTCACAAATACCCATACCCATCACAAACTTTTCATAGACATTGGAAGCCAAATTACAATAAAAGCCCAACCCAGGGAGCATTTAGACACAATGTGGGACCCGAAACCTGAGCCCACGGCACAATATTCACACTTGTCACGCCGAACTCAGATCACCATCCTGTAATGTCTGTCTCTACAATCCTCCACTCTTCTGCGTTACCACTCTCACTCCCCTTTCAACTTCGCCTTCCCAAAACTTTGTCACGCTCTTCACCGATGGCCACAACAGCATCGGCATCTCCGCATGCAATTGGAAGCGATAGCGGCGTTTCGATTAAGGGTGTATTATACCCTGCACTGGCTCATTCCAACACGCTTTTCTTCAAATCAGCGTACAACGTGCAGATCGTAGTGGGCGACGATGAGCCCGAAGATAGAATCGTTTATCGCTTCAAGAAGGAGGTTCTCAAGGCCGGTGTGCTTCAGGAGTGCAGACGTAGAAGGTTCTTTGAGAACAAACACGACAAGATCAAAAGGAAAGCCCGCGAAGCTTCTAGAAGGAACCGTAAGAGGTTAACCCTTTTACCTCTAACCCAAATCATTACGTTTATTTACTGAGTTCTATTTATTTGCTCTGAAGAATGTCATGTTATGTCAGGAAGCCGAAGTCAAGAGTTTCGGCACAAAATAAACACGATTCTGAAAAGAAAAAGGATAATGATGACAATGATACAGATATTGATAATTGGGATCTTCCTGTTGTAGATATTCCATACACTTGATGTTCAGATACAGGAACAAACAGAGAAGAGAAAATATGACACACTCCTTCTTAGGTAATCAGTTCCTTGTGTTCTACAGGTCTTGTAGGGACGGTGCCTTTAAATGCTGAATCTTATATGTATGAAAGGTGATCATATCTGTTCATAGTTCGCATCCATGAAAATGTAAATTTTTAACTTTGGTGTTAGCAATGTCGGTTGTTTAGATAGTGGACATGTTAGTGCATGATGGTCAAAAGTATGTTTAAAAAGTCAAACTGAATAAATCATCTTGATTGATTTTAGTTGAGATTGATTTTAAACTGGGTTTGTTATAATTTGACCTTGAAACTTATTTTGAAATGGAAGTAAAGATAGAGTGCATGTTTGGTTTAAAATTTGTAAACTTAAGTTTGACTTAAAATTAAGTTTGTAAACTGAGTTTGTAGAAACAATCCAAGTATTGCTTCTACAAAACTGAGTTTTTAGAGTGCAAACGTATTTTTGAAAGCAATCAAATATGTTATGATACTGAATTTTTCTCTAAAAGTAAGTTTGGAATGCCTTCAACTTAAAACCAAACATAGGTAGCCACAGTCAATTTTACAAACTCAGTCTGTAAAATGAATTTCATCTTAAGTTTTCAAACTTTAATTCAAACATAAGCTTAATTTTTGGAAAAGGACCCACAGTGGAAGCACGAATGGTTTTTCGGGATCATAGTAGAGCTTTTACATTTTATATAACAATGTAGCTACTGAATTTCCTAAAAGAGAAATTGAAGTTGTAGGAATCATAATTTTGGTTGGAGAGAAGAAAGGAGGGGAAGCATAGGGAAAAACTAAAAGGGAGGCAAGGAGCCAATATGCAAATAATGCAATTATATATTGTTTGATGATCTGAACAAGTGAGGTCAATTTATACTTGATAGAAGGGATATTTTTAAGTGAGAGCATTTGAAGCTTGTAAATGTGTGATGTAGCTTGTGTGTTTGCACCTTTAATTCGTGTCTATAGCAGAATTTGCACATTAACGACAGGGGAAAATACAGAAGCAACAAATATTTGCTTCTGCCTATACAAAAAATTAGTTGTTTCTGCATGGACGCGAATCCAATTTTTTCCAACGCAGAACCAGGCATAGCATGATATGTTCATCATTAGTACTCCAAAATTGGAGGTAACCAGATTTCTGTCTTTATAGCTAAATTTCATAGCATAGAAGTTTTTTTCATTTACATTAGTGTGCGGTCAGAACTGGGATATATGGCTCTCTCAGACCAGAAATCTTCAATGTGTTACATTATAATGTCAATTTACTTTAATTGCATCTTTTAGTGGAGAAATTACAAAAATGAGGCTGTTGTCATATCTAATCTAACTTAACTTAAAATTGTAAAACTTGTGTTTATTTCACATCACTCTTCTTATTTTTAAATGTTCTCTTTTTGTCGATGACTTATCCCTTCCAGCTATGTTTTTTCTATCCACAAGTTTCGAATTTGAAATCTTACAGAGTCCAATGTAGTCAAGACAATTACTTGGTAGTGTTATAATTTAACTGTATAAGGGTAAACATATAATAAAAATTTTCTATATAAAATATTTGTTTATACAGTAAATTTTTATTGTTTGTAATCCTAATATATTAGTAAATAATTCAAATGTATTAATAATTTAGTTATATTTTATTATTTGTATTACCTTATGTATAGTAATCATATTTTAGTTATATTTTATTATTTGTATTACCATATATAATATTTTTATAATTTATTAATAATAATATTTTTGTACAAAATAATAAACTATCATCATAATTATAAAATACAATTAATATTATAAATATAACACATATAAATAATTTTTAGAATAAAATAATTACTATTTAAAATTGATGTAACTAATATAAAATAAAATAAAAAGGGAAAACAATTGAACCATCACTAGAAACTAATTTTCACAATCATCTTTTTTGTGATGTATTCCAGTGGTGGTTACATTGTGTATAACTAAATGTTACTGGTGGAGAATAGAGAGAGAAAATGTTGACTTTTGATAACACAAATAAAATTTTCAACAATATCACTAAATGTTTAAAGAGTTGCACCTAAGATTAATTTATCTGATAAAAAATAACGATCTTGTAAAAAATTCCTCAAAATTAACGAAGTTTTATAATGCTTTAGAAATATTTTCAATTAATAAATAGAGTAAACTGAAATATAATAAGCTAGCATTAGTTCTACATGGACTCACAAACTCGACTTAAACATAAGATAAAATAAATTAAGCTTTTTAAACACAAATTTTTCTCTAATTATATTTCTTTAATTTTATATTGTGAATGATGAACTTGATATAATTAGAACTCCTTTTATTTTAAAACTCTTTTCTCCTTTTTTTGATGATCTAAATTTAATAGACTCAAATTAGATTAGATTTATTAAAAGTATATTAAGAAAGTTTATATGCCTAGACTTAGACTCTCTCTTCATTAATAAGGAAAGAAAAAATAAAAAATAAAGACAATGGAAGATATACTTGTTAGTTTAAAGGTAGGTAACATAAGAGTGAATTAATATTGTTATTTAATTAAAATGTAATCTTTATATATAGAATCATCTATAGATTAATAGAGTATTTACCAACGAGATAATAATTTTGCAAAATAATGCATTTTTTGTAATTTTTTATTTTTTGTTCATGTGTAAAAGAAAAATAGATAAGTTTATTCTAATGAAAAATGATATCTTTTCTTTGTCAATTTTCTTGCTATTATATATAAAAAAATTATTATTTTTCTCTTATTTCTTTATATTTGGTTACTTTTCACTCTACTTTTTCAGTATATGAATGAATGGCGCTTAATATATATATATATATATATATATATATATATATATATATATATATATATATATATATATATATATATATATATTTTTTTTTTTTTTTTTCATATTAAAAATTATTTGTAAAATAAGTTACTTATTTTTTTTATGCTCTAAACAAGTTACATATGTGGGATAATATTTTAAATTTGTTTTGAAAAATAATCTCTCTATTGCATTTATATTTTGCATTTTAAATTTATACTTTATGGTCATTTTTCATATATATATATATATATAGTTTTATACACATTGTTTCTTACGTAAAAATTGATATTTTTCATCAAACAAAAATAAACATTCTAAAATTAATTTCTACCAAACTTATTTAAACTTATTTTAATTATAATAAGTTAAAATATATATTAACTATTGGAATAATTTAATTCTCACTATTGTTTCAAATAGAAATTTGAAAAAAAAACAACTTCAATTTGTTTGGCTTGGACTAAAAAACGTTATCGTAGAAAGATTTATGTACACTCTTAAAACAAAACAAATATTTATCTTTGAAAAAACAATAATTAATTAAAAAAAGATGTAACTAAAAATACTGGATACACAAAAGAAGAATGCAATTTATTGAATTCGAATGTTTTAAATAGCAAATATATTTGCTATTATATAACCCATAAAAAAACTAGAATTATTAGTTTATTAATTGCCCCATTCTAACAATTTTTTTTATCATATTTTGTTTCAAAATAATATATTATTACTATTATTAGAGGATCATTCAAATGAAAAGAAGACCTAAAAGGTATTGAAAAAATGAGAATTTTTTTTGTTGTTATTATTATTTTGAAATTAACATTTAGCTAAATTTAAAGAACCCGGTGGTGGTGTATAGGATTACTTGTAACTCGAACTAGGAAACGTTTTGTTTTGTTGAAGTATATAAGATAAAGAAGTAAAGGGAGAAGAAAAGAAGACTGTATTCGGAGGAAGGAAGGTAAAGAAAGCAAACGCAAAAGCGATAGCGGTAGTGATGGAAGGAGAAGAGGGTTCTCAGCAGCCACAGTTGGTACTCGCCGACAAGCTATTCCTTCTCCGACAACCCGATGTGCAGGACATTGACAAGGTTCGCTACAAAGAGGATGTTTTCACTCACGTTAAGGAAAACGGTAACCCTCTCTCTAATCCCTTTTTCTTTTTTCTTCATATCAAACATGTTTTCACCCTCCTTTCTGTGCAGATATGGTCCCTTTGTACGAAACCCTAGTCGCCGATTCCGTGTTGGACATGGATCGTACCCTTTTGGATTCCATGCGCGCTAAAACTGAGGACGAACTTAACAAGATCGACGAAAAGTGAGTTTCTCTCTCTTCATCTCTCCCTTTACCTACGATGCTTGCGCCGGCTCCCGATTTGGAATTTGGGATTTGAAATTTACTAGGTTAATTTGGGAATGTTAGTGAATCTGAAGGGAGAGTGATGGGACTGGTACTACCATAGGGTATATGACCCTAATATGCTAATTTTGTTTTCCAATTACCCTACCGTCATCTATGTATTTTGTTTTTTGTTATTTTCTTCTTATGCGTCTTGCTGTCTTTCGTTTTTCACGGTGATTGATGTTTCTTGTCACCATCATCGTTATCGTCGCTTAGGTTGTGATCCGCACCTAGGTATGGATTTGAAAGAAGTGAGTTGCTGGATGCCTGACACTGAAGTATGTTTGAAGTTGCGAATCCATGTTTCTCCTACTCAAGATTCTTCCTACTTAAAATTTTCCACTCTGGCAAAGTTGTTGGAGTTTCTGTGAATAATGTTATCAAAAGTTGAGTTGCATTATGCATTCTTGAAGGTTGACACTTGATGGGAAAGAATATTTATCGTAGTTTTAGTTTCAGAGTTGAGAGAAGAAATAAATTGGAAGTCAGAGAGAGATATGGAGACAACAAGCCTTGGAAACACTTGGCTATCACCCAAGTGGTAGTAAATAAAGTATGTGGAATGCAAGTTTAGCAAGAGTCACAATAGCTGTATCGCAGAACATACAATGCCATGAGCTATACATTTTATGTATCTTGGGGACATCATACCAAATTATGAGGAGATGGAGGGTGATGTTGATCACAAGATCGAACAGGGTGTGAAATGGAGGGATGCTTGGATGTGATATGTTATAGAAAAGAAAAGTACCACACATTAACGCAGGCTAAAAAAATAATTCACTGCACAACCTAACTATATGACATGCAATGCTTTATGGGATTGATTGATGGACAGTGAAAAGTCAACAAGAAAGTTATCTTAATCTCACAAAAAAAGTTAGTATAATGATGGACGAATGGGGGATAAGATAGGATTAGGAATACAACCATTAGATAGAAAGTTGGGGTAGCTCCCATTGTAGAAAAAAATGGTGAAGCCTCATTTTTAGATGGTTTGAGTATATGTGTGGAGAAAATATGCAGAAGCACCATTATGGAGAGCTGACCAGATGGAAGATAGTCCAACAATAGGAGGTAGAGGGATACTAGAGAAAACTGTAGGTCTAACTGCTAAGAGGGACTGAGGTAACTGGTCCTTCTTTGCACATAATATAGGAGAGAAAGCTATGGAATTGGCATCATATGATTCATGTGGTTGACCATTCTTAATGGGAAAATACTTAATTGTCATTGTTGTTGTATGCATGAAAGTAATGGTTTTTCTTATATGTTATAGACCTAGTAGTCAAAAGGCTTATATGGCTATGATGGTAGCCAAGCCCAAAACATACATGTTGCCTGGTGGATGGCATATTTGCCGCAGTAATTAAGCAATGGAATTGTTTTAATAGATGTAAATAAATTACTACGTAGATATAAAGGTACCTAAATAATATATTATATAATGAAAAACCATCATAAAACATATTTATATTTCAACCAAAACCAAGAACACAGAAAAAGAAGAAAAGTCTATACAAAAGAAATTTTGGATGATAATTTCAGGATAGTATGCTTTCAAGGAAGAGGGGGATCAATAAAGACACATCTATGTGGCTCCAAAGAAGTAGTGCGTTCTGTATAAGTTTGAAATTTCATTCTGCAGTGTTTTTCCTGTGTTGTTATCACTAAGAAAAAGCTGAATGATGATTTTGCCCCATAAAATAACAAATTCATGTGCTGACTGAGAAAAGAAAGGTATAAAATATTCCAAAATCTACCATTTTCACTCCAGCAGAGCAGATGCACTAGCACCACAATGGAGGTCGCCGGATTGAAGCTGTCATGTAATGATCCTTGCCACTTGGCTATGAGGGCCACATCTACAACATTGATTGTACCTCTTAGAGTTGTCTTAATGCATGAATTTGGCCCACCTCCGTGGCAATAGTTAATGTTTCACATTCCACCTTTTTCCTTAGATAGATTGTTCATACTTTTCTAGGTTGAAAGTGAATAGAAGGAATGTACATTATATCCTCCAAAAACTATGATACCAGGAGAATAGAAAATGCATAGACTGGGGCAGATGTATTGCACACATGGGATTTTACATTATGTGATTCCTTGGAATGCAAACTATGATTTCTTTCATTGGCTCTATTAATTATTGCAGTTATTAAAATACATGTGGATGCCTCTTTTTAGGATTGCTGATGCTGAGGAAAACTTAGGTGAGAGTGAAGTTCGTGAGGCTCACTTGGCAAAATCCTTGTTTTTCATCCGAATTGGTGACAAGGTATATGACTATTATAACTTGCTTATTTCCTGCCTGCTACTTGAATCAATTTTGATAACACCTTTTCTTGTACCAGGAGAAAGCCTTGGAACATCTCAAGATAACAGAAACCAAGACAGTTGCAGTTGGCCAGAAGATGGACCTGGTGTTTTATACTTTGCAGCTTGGTTTCTTTGACATGGATTTTGATCTCATTTCCAAAAGCATTGACAAAGCCAAAAAGTAATGTTTTGAATTACAAACTTTTGCAGTTATGCTCTCTGCCATATTTTTCAGTTAAGAGTTGTTTTTCTGACTGTTTACACCGAATGGTGTCAGCTTGTTTGAAGAAGGTGGTGATTGGGAAAGGAAGAATAGGCTGAAGGTGTATGAGGGCCTGTACTGCATGTCCATTCGAAATTTCAAGAAGGCTGCCAAGTTGTTTTTGGATTCTATTTCAACCTTCACAACCTATGAACTTTTTCCTTATGACACCTTCATATTTTATACGGTTTTGACCAGCATTATATCGTTGGATAGAGTTTCCTTAAAGCAAAAGGTATGTTGATTGTTGATTCTTTCTTGTGTACACTATTTATCCTTTTCTTTTTACTGTTGTTTATGTTAGTTCACAAGTGTTCTGTGTATTATAAATTGTTAACATGTTAATTTGCATCAGGTGGTTGATGCTCCAGAGATCTTGACAGTGATTGGCAAAATCCCATATCTTTCAGAGTTTTTGAACTCCTTATACGATTGTCAATACAAGTCTTTCTTCTCGGCATTTGGTGAGCAGACATTTGTCTGATATCAGTAATATTGTTGTGAATTTTGAAAATTTTGACACTTCACTGGAGACACTTTGCATTACGCTTCAATATTTTTTTGTGATATAATTTGATAATTTTTTGGAAATCATCCAATATACATAGGAACTTCAAAGTGCTCATGGAAATCGATTTCTATCAGTTTGGGCCAATTGTTAATAGTTTTGTTTCATTTTGAATTTTATTTCAGCTGGTCTGACAGAACAGATTAAGTTGGACCGCTATCTTCATCCTCACTTCCGATATTACATGAGGGAGGTCAGAACTGTTGTGTACTCCCAATTTTTGGAATCTTACAAGAGTGTGACAATTGAGGCCATGGCCAAAGCTTTTGGAGTGACAGTGGATTTCATTGATCTGTAAGTAAATGTATTTTACAAATCAAATTTTGGTTAAGTATTTGTTTAGTTTTTAGATGCCATGGAGAGTTACTGATTGCAGTATGTGCTTCCAGGGAGCTATCACGTTTTATTGCAGCAGGGAAACTTCATTGTAAGATTGATAAAGTTGCTGGTGTTCTTGAAACTAACCGCCCTGATGCCAAGAATGCCCTTTACCAAGCAACTATCAAGCAAGGAGACTTCCTATTGAATCGGATCCAGAAATTGTCACGTGTTATAGATCTTTAGGCCATGTCTTGCATTTTAGTTCAAAAAGTTTATTGGAAAGGCAGAGATAATGACATTTTTAAATTTGAAGGACATCCTTGGATTCATTTTACTATGAGGGTGTGAGGCATGGTAGTTCATTTGATTTTGGTTTAGCAATGAATAGTCAAATTTACTGAATTTAAATATGTCAATCAGTTTTCAATTATTTTGGTGATGAATATATTCAATTGTTTGTCTGCTTGAGTAAAGGATATGACTGGTAGTCATCGCATGCACGTCCACACTTGATCACTGTGCTTGCTTATAACGAAATTGGCCGTTCTATTCCGTTATTCGATTACCCCATAGTTATCCTAGGATGAAACAGGACTAGTCACCCTATATTATCTGTGAGTCTGACATTTAGGTAGAGTTGCCTTCTGTTATTTTTTTTCTTCTCAATGTTTACCTTCAGATAGAATCAGGTTCAAAGACTACCATAGCTGTGCCGTGGTTCGTACGACCATCAGGCTCAGGATTCAGTCTCTTATTTTCCCCCACAACGCAATACTAAGGGCAGGATGACATTGAAAGGCACGTAGCCTCCGTGTGATGTGACCATAGTTGGCTATCCGTTCTGAACTGTAATTCAAGTTGATCTTGTTTAGTTTTACCATTGCTCTGGAAAAGGTAAAAATTATTTTCTAAAATTACTTTAGTGAAATTCATTGATATGTTCACAGATAGACGATCAAATTGACTAAACCCTAAACCTAAGATACCCAAATTGACTAAATAATGCATGATCACTATCATATATCATCGAACTTCTCAGTTTTTACAGCAGGTACCACTTTACTCTATATTTACCCTTGTCTATACTTTTTTCGATTCCTGGCATGAGAGCATGTGTTCCCAAATAATTTAGGAAGACATTATGAGGTTGCCAGCCCTTAATAGATGCAATGTTCATATTTATAGGCACAGTGATTGCACTGTAATTTAAAGCATTTTCTGTAGTTTAGGTTCTTTTAGCCTGTACACCTTTCTTCATTCCATATCTTAAGGTACATAATACATTACTAGTATTTTTTAATTAAAAAGCAATTTTTGAAGTTTAAACATTTATTAAAGTATCAAATAACTTCACTTATTTTATTTTTAATTTTAAAATAGCTTTTTATTCAAACAAAATGACTAACCTAAATTACGTAAGAAGTTAATTTATGACAGATAATCTCTTATCTTTTTATGACTATCCTAAGCTCTTAGTGTCAATTTTATCACTTCGGAATTTGAAATGAAATTTTTAGTTCAGTTCTCCATAATTCCATTTTCATCCCAACATTGACTATTCAAAATTAAGAAACAAATGGCACGAAAATGTAGATGGTTTGGAAAAGCCCCAAGAGGTTAAAAAGTGTAATTCATCAATGCTAGATATATTCTTTATTAAATATATTAAATATAAATTATTTATTAAATGATAAAATTTTTTAAAATTATAAATTTTTTATTATCTCTTAATGAATAAAATTATAATATTTAAGTTTATGCTATAGACAGTAGTGTATATACGCTATTTACTCTAACTTTTACAATAATTATATTAAAGAACATGTGTTAACATATATATAAATAAATGTTCAATATTTTTCTTATCTAATAAGTAATAATATTAATAAGAAAATTTGTATGATAATTTAAAACAAATTTCCATCTCAAATTTTGCTCATATTGAAAGGGTCATGGTGAATCAATACATGATTAATTTTTTTTAGAGTAAATTCTACAACTATATTACATCAGTCATTAAATTAGAAGAATGTATTTTTAATTTAATCCTTAAAAAATATGGCGTAACGTTAAACTAATATTCAAAATTCATCAATTAAGTTTTTTAAATATTTAATTTGTCACTCATTAAATTGCTTCTTCTATAGATGACACTATACTTTTTTATATAGGCAATTTAATGATGAGATTCTTAAAATATTAACTTGATAATTTTTTAGCTTTTAGAAAGACTAATAACAAATTTGTAAGAATTAAATGAAACATGCATTGTGAAGAATTAACTTGAAGAAGGTATTTTACATATTATAAAAAATTGATAATGATATATTATTTTATGAATGAACTAATATTAGCCTTTTAGAATGGAGAGTTAGATCTTTATTATTTATCTTGATGGAATCCATGTAAATAAATAATAAATGAATATGAAAATATAAAAGAATAAGAAAGAATGAGAAGTCAAATTTATAAATATACAAATAAGTATATTTAATAATCATAAAGTTTGAGGAAACCAAAATCATAAATACTAATGTAAATTAGAAAACTTTGACAATAATATCTTGGACCAAAATTATAAATATTAATGTATGTAATAAAACTTTGAGAGATATGACCCCTCGTCTCCTAATAAGATTCTTCTTGAAAAGTACTACCACATTTAGTTGATAATTTATAGTTTTAAGTATCCATAGATATAATATTAAATTATTTTATGGAAATGAAATATTAAGTTCACATGTGATTTTAGAACTCTCAAAACAACAAATGCACTACATTATATAATGTTTTCTTATCAGTTAATGAAGAAATAAAATTTGACGTTTCCTAAGGATCAACACTCTATGCACAATCAAATGAAAAACTACTTATTACATAAAAAGATGGGTGATGAAGTTACACATGAAATAATAAGTACTCCTGTATGATATAAAAGTATTCTTATGTTCTAAGTATCAAAAGTAAAAGGGGTGGAGAAGCCAAGAGTTTTACCCAAGTATTCTTATGTTCTAAGCATCAACTTGGTCACAATAGAAACTTGTAAGATTTTAATGATCAGTTTTTGAACACAAAATCTCATTGAGAAAACTAAGAATGAGTGTTGTATATTCCAAAAGTTGAAATCTCTGTCTTCTATTATTCTATAAACATAATGTGATTTAAGCTTATAACATAATACCCTATCTTCCAAATATAATTGAGTGAATGTTAACACTAATGTTAGATTGTTTGTATTTGTGTTTTCAAATGTTGTGAAATCTAGTTAATGAATCTTTGTCTCAAAATTCTATAATTGTGTGTTTTGGTTAAGCCTAAATGAGTTGGTCAAAAGAATATTTGAGTGTTTGTTTTGGAAAACAAGTAAAAGACTATTTTGATTTTGATTTAGTAAAGAGTATCTTGCTAAAATAATATTTTTAATTATAGTGAAATGTAGTTGGTTTGAATAGAATATAATTGATTTTTTTTAAAAACTAAATTTAGTCTCAGATGTCCACATGAACTTATGTAAAAATCTCCATATATATATATATATATATATATATATATATATATATATATATATTTACTGCCTAATGTGTCTTAAAATTGATTTAAGGATGAATCTATTTTATGTGACGAATCGAAGTTTTACAAACAGTTTAGTTAACAGAATTCAATATTTCTTATTATGTTGTTCTTTGTTATAGTATAAATAAACAAAATTAACACAAAATAATTAAAAAAATCCAACTTTGTTTTTGTTTTTAAATTAGATATATACTTAGTCAACAAAATAAGAGTTACATTACATCTTTACTTTTGTATCTTTATTGTTATCTTTTTAATTTAATAATAAAAAGTAATCCATTTTAACTAATAAAGAAAATTTGAACTCTTTCTTTTATACCACATTTAAATATAATTTCCACAAGTAGAGGGTAAATTTACCACATCCAAGCTATTCTATTTACAGAACAAACTTAAACGTGTGAAATATTAGTTAAGCAAATTAATGCAGAGGTGAGGAATGACAAGGACTAATTATCCAGAGGAGTTATGTTTCCAACACTTTCTACTTTGTTTTCAGAGTGTGACAAAAACCAGGCTTGGAAGCAAGGTATAGTAGAAAAAGTGAGAGAGAGTATCCCTGGTTTATGGTTTATGAGCCACACACACTGGACACAGTGTTCAGAACGTGACAATATATCTTGCATTATATTCTAGTTTACATGCGAAATCGTATTTCTGGACGCAGACCATGTTACCTCCTATTCCTATTCCTATTCCTATTGATATCAATGCTATAAAAGATAAGTTCTCCTATCAGTTGCGACCTTGGCAACGTTCCTTCCAATTCTGGGTCCGAGCCATTGACATCTACACCGGATACAAGGTCTCACTCCCTCTCTGTTTCTCTCTTGTATTCATTGATGTTAATTATTATGCTTCGTGTTTTCTTCTGTTTTCGCTTCAATTGCAATATTCGTTCGTTCTTTAGGTGTTTCAAGTGAGAGTCAATTTCGTCAAAGATGTGCAGAAGCAGGAAGCAATGTGGGAACGGCAGCACGAGCTTGCTGCCGATAAGATTTTCGCCTTGTGCTCTGACCTTGGAGGTTTCTTCCTCAAGGTCATTCAACATTTCGAAAGCTCTTTATTATTGTTTTTTTTTTGTTCCTCTTTTTTCAGTTTTATGTGTTCGGGTTATTTCGCTCCTTGATTTTTTTTTTTTTATCGATTGGGAAACTATTTTGTTGTGGTTTGTTCTTGAGAAAAAATATGGATTGTAGCTTTTAATTTTTGGAGGATTTTTATGACTTGGCATTTTGGTTTTTGGCTTTGCCTTATTGTGATTGATTGTGTTCATCATCCTATGGATTTTATGTATCATGTTGAATGTGATACAGATCGCTCAAATTATAGGGAAGCCTGATTTGGCCCCGGCTGCATGGGTGAAAAGGCTTGTTACGCTGTGTGATAGGGCTCCTCCGACCCCTTTTGATGTGATGAAACTAGTTTTGGAGAATGAGCTAGGGCAGGATATTGATGATGTGTTCGAGAGATTCGATGTTGAACCCCTAGGTTCTGCTTCAATTGCTCAGGTCCCTGTGATACTTCTGGCCTGCTATCTTATTTTTGCTCTGAATAATTGGCATCATTTGAATTGTTGTAGTATTATTTTACCTTCAAAATAAAGTGTTTGTAATAAAGTGATGGTTGTCGCTGGAATCAGCTGCTGCTACTCACGTCACTGTAGGGGTCTGTGACTAGCTAGCTACACTGGGGGTTAGGGTACTCGTAAAGCTACACCAAGTGCTTCCAACACCTTAGTTAGTGTGTATCAAGTAGTTTTATACTGTTTACTGTTTCAGCTAAAAGGAGAAACATATTTGAAAAATAAGTAAGCTCAATGCTACCTATAGGGTGCAAAGGTTTTGGGGACAGGTGATACCTTTGGGAACGGGTATGCAGTATTCACAAGCTTTGCAATGATTTGAGTGATTTCCTGTAACAGTATAAGAAAGAAGATAATGCGTGTCCATTCTGTTATGGGAAAAAGTTTTATACTGGGTTCATTTGCTATGTAGTGGGTTGCTTACCTTCTGGATGATAATTGATCAGTTAACGAGATACCAGGTTTAGCTTTAGCTACTGCTCTTCGTAAATGACAGGTTTCATATGGCTAGCATGATGATAAGGTGGAACAACAACAAAAGATGATTGAATTTTTTTATTCAATTCAATCTTATCCAAAAATTTGTCATTTTTTTTCAATTCAATTCAAAAGATGATTGTTTTTTGTTTTATAGAAAGAATCTTAGAGATTGGGAACAGTTTGTAGAGTAAGAGGTACTTACTAACATTTTTTAAAATTCCTGCACCTGCAAACATGTTTACAAAAACTACGAATCTATAATGTCCCACCTAAGAAATAGCGGTTATAGAATTATTCGTACTTAAATGCCATAATAACAACAGGTGGCGGCAGCAACATCCAAACGCACCATAGTATATGCTACCTAAGCATAATGTTATCCAGACATGCAACATAACCCACAGCGACACTCTATCCTTGCCATTGCTAATAAAGCTCTATTTATTATTCAAATTTTTATTTTGTTGTGCTAATGCATTCAGTCTGTTGGTGGCATAATAATTTTGAAGTATAAAAACCCTTTTGGGTATATTAAATCCAATAATATTTGTTTTGCTTCTTGAGGTTCATATTTATGTCCATATCTCCTATAAGCCCTCAGAACAGTGATTACTCGGCAAAAGAAGTGTTTTCTTCAACATTCTTGAATTCTATGTTAGGATTTAGTACCATGTGTAACTGACATATATGTCTTGTGGTCATATTAGGTTCATAGAGCAAGACTGAAAGGTGATACAGGTGATGTTGCTGTCAAGGTAAATGAACCTGATAAGCCCAATGGATTTTATTAACCAGTAAAGCTCTGATTCTAATTTCTTTTGCGTATAATAGGTTCAACATCCTGGAATTCAGGATCTGATGATGACAGATATCCATAACTTACAAGCGTTTGCACTGTACATGCAAAAGACAGACATCAAATTTGATCTATATTCAGTGACTAAGGAGATGGAAAAACAGGTGGGACTTTATTTCTTGGCTAGATTTCTTCTATGCGGATTATTTGATTCCCACCTGTTTTATTCCCCTGTTTCATGGATTTGTTTATTAGTTGCATCCTGATCAAAGAAGAAACACATTGCTGGATTTGTCTTTCAAATATAGATTAATTGAGAAGCTCCTATTAAGAATAAAATGTAGTGTGTACCTTCATTATGTGTGAATGTTTGACGGATAGGTTTTGGAATTTGCTAAGGTTTGGGGAGGACAATAGGAATTTATGTTTTATTTGGCTTTCCTTTGTTTTTGCTACCTATATTTGTTGAAAAACAACTATTACTTCTCTGATTAGCATTAAATAATCTAAAATACTGGACTAAAAGTACTTTATTTATCTATTAAGAAACAATTGATGCTTGAGAAAACTAACTGGCCTACCTACCCTCTTCTACCTTTCAGTTGATTTTCTTAGAATTCTTTATCAATTACTTGGTTTCTTTTCTATGCTTATCGCTTCATAGTCATGATATGAGGTTCTTCCTGCAATTTATCATGAAAAGTTCTGAACATCTACGTGATAATTCGTGACATTTTAGATTGGATATGAATTTGACTTCATAAGGGAGGCTGATGCAATGCAAAGGATAAGAAAGTTCTTGTATGAGAATAACAAAAAGACTCCTGTTTTGGTGCCACGAGTAATACGAGATATGGTTACCAGGTATATTATGCAGTCCAGCATCTTACATAATCTTGATAAGATAGTATTAGTAATGGACAAGAATGTTTAACTCCCTAATATTATTTCCAGGGAAGAGTTCCAGCTATTTATTCATTTGACTCAAAAGTGTATGGCTTTTTTAGAAATGATTAAATATAGCTTTAGTCTCCGCAGTCCGAATTTGCATGTAAATATCAGTTGGTGCTAGCTTTACTAATTTCTTTTTTGGCTAAACTAGTTCTGATAATTGAATAATTTAGGTAATATTTAGTTTTTTTGGACAAAATATTAAAAATGAAAACAGTCAAAAATCTTGAATGGTGGTGCACTGTTAAGTTGTGCAGTATCACGATAAATAATTATATGTCATGCATCAAGCATGGTATCGCTAAATTTTCAGCTTTCTATACCAACCCATCATATGTTATGGAAGACCCTTTATTCATAAAAGCAGTGTTGAACTGAAAACAATAAAGGAAAATTATCCACTATGGAGAAATATTTTTCCTATCATACACATTTTGACTTCGATTAGTTTTTGAAGTAATGACGTGCTTCTTGGATTGTACAGGAGGGTCCTTGTTATGGAATATATTGATGGTGTTCCAATAATGAACCTTGGTGATGAAATAGCAAAGAGAGGGATAAATCCTCGTGGTAAGGTTGCAGCAGCAGCAAAGCAGTAAGCTCCTGAGCTATATATCTAAGAGTAGTCTTTTACAAGTTATAAGAGCATCTCTAATGAGAGTTGCTTATTGAGATGTTTAAATAAAGTATTAGTTGCTTGAAGTAACTTTCCCCTGGAGAATCTTATGTGATATGATAAATGCTTAAGTTTGTTTGATAGTTGCTTCATTAAGCATTTTACAAAAATAAGCAAATCAAAGTAAATGAGGAAAGAGAATATATTTTTTAAAATTTATTAAGAAAACTTCTAATGAAGTAAAATCAACAGTGAGTTACTTATAAATGATATGAAATCATAAATCTCTATTTTACATTTTTCAAGATAAGAAGCAACTCATGTGAGTTGTTCCTATTGGAGATGCCCTAACACACTTTTAAGTTCATAACTTACACATGACATGTTTTCTGATTGATGACACGTGCTTTTAGCTCTCTTCTATTTTGAAACATCAATATAAACTTATTCATTCATTCGTTGGTGTCTTTATTACTACATAGAAAATTGAATTTATGAGAACAAAAGTAAAACATGGGGGAAGGACACGATGTTCTCCAAAACAAAAGGACAGCATAAACAAGAATACAGATAAGATTGCAGCAAGGTGGTAGTCACACTTAATATAAAAATAGCCATTCCTTGAATAAAGCATGAAAAGAATGTCATGTCATAAACCTAATCCTTTCCCATAATGAGTTGTAGAGAACAATATGCCCTTAAAGATGTGAGCAATCAGCTCCGACTAAATGCACCAATGCTCAGTTTGCATGTTTTCTAACAAAGCCTCTTTAACAATTAATCAAATCATTGTCTTTTAGCAACATAGCTGAATAAAACAAATGGAAGTGTCTTATTGCTCTTATTTTATTTATTTATTTATTTTATGTAAAATCATTTCAATTTTATGTGGATAATTATCTTTAAACTCCTCTTGAAAAAGGGAATACAATAAAATGTGGAACAACTGGGCATTGATTTCCTACAATGATTTTTCGTTCCATGTACTTCTGATGGTGAAAAGAATCAATTAACAATTTGCAAGATTAAGACAGCTTTGATAAATGTTGACACTCATTCAACTTTCCACATGTTTGGTTGTGGTCCTGATATTTTCAGCGGGGTGTATACAAATGTCAGAATCAGATAAGAGGATGGTTAAGTTTCAATACAACCAGCCTTTTTATCGGAGATTTATAACATAGATGATTTTTATATATCTAGTTTTAAGTGTATTACACTATTAACTTTCTCATAAAAGTGCAGGAAAATTCTTCAAAGCTTGACTCTAGCATATGGCCAAATGATTTTGAAAAGTGGATTCTTCCATGCAGATCCTCATCCAGGAAACATCCTGATTTGTAAAGGATCTGAGGCAAGTCATAATATATATTTCTTTTCTAATATGTCTTTTTGGTTTTATTTTATCTCTTTTCAGGTGAATATCAGTTGGTAGAATATTGAAAATCAGTTTTCGACATTGATGCCTAAAATGACTTTTCCCTCTTTTATTCTTTTAACTTTAACCATCCGAATATTATGACTTCCTCAATTCAGGTTGCCTTGCTAGACTACGGGCAGGTGAAGGATCTCCCAGAACAGTTGAGGCTTGGCTATGCTAATCTAGTTCTTTCAATTGCTAATGGTGACCCATTAAGAGCTGCAGAGAGCTATAGGTACCGAAACTTACATTTAATCTTATCCACGTAATTCTCTCTTGTTTGTTGAAAATCAGAACAGAAGTAAATATCTTAGCTAATACTGAGTTACAAACTGTGCTGCTGGATTAGATAACGAAAGCAAGCATTAATTGATGTAGAATAATTAGGTTTAAAGATAAGAAGAGAGAAAAAAGACTAGAGAGAAGAAAAGAAATGGAGGTAAATGTTGGAAAAAATAAATATCTATATAACTTAACTCCTCATTGATAACAAAAAGATTTGATGGCTTTCTAAATTTCCCTCAATATTCGCTCATTGGTGACATAACTGGATTTGATGGGTTTTCAACTTCATATTTTGACTTGAAAATGATGACCAGTTGGTGCATATGGACAAATCAAATTATCTAATAGCTTTTTTACTCGTTATTTTATAGAGAGCTTGGTATAGAAACCGTGAGCAGTTGTGAAAATGAGCTACAAGAATTATTTAAACTAGCACAGACAATGTTTGATACAAAATTGCCTCCTGGGGTGGTAATGCTGCAACCTTTCTCAGAGGAATCTTCAATTAAAAAAGTTGCTGTTCAGGTATGTTTTAATCCAATTTACCGTTTCCCAGTTGCTGTTCAGTGTATAAAATTTGCCATATTACTCTGCTACACATGGAAAGTTAAAACTCTGAGATTGAGGTGTTAGTCATGGATAAAAGAAAAGTTAATCCTGGGAGGACTGAGTAGAAAAAGGAAGAAAGAGGAATTTTTTTAAAAGGATTGATGTATATATATGTTTGGAGGGGATGGTGTACAATGATGGAAATGAGGTTGAAACCTATGACCTAATGCTAACTACCTAAACACCAACCAGTAGATCACCTAGTGGGTAGGGGTTGCTGAATACAAAGGGAAGAACTCAACTCAACAATACCGGAACAAATCTTAGGTTGCTACTCCCTTCGTCACCTCAACTTCCGAACAATTTAATATCATTTTGATTGTTTTGGTTGCTCTTTGTTATGTGAACTGATAATGCGGTACTCTTGAATGTACAATAACTACAATGTAATATATATATATATATATATATATATATATATATATATATATATATATATATATATATATATATTTTTTTTTTTTTTTTTTGTGTGTCCAAAATTGCTGGTTGACAACTCATTATTAGTAGATGAAAATATGTTGGCATTGAATCAAATTATTAGATAATATAGTAACTGTTGATGCATGTTAGTAAATGGTATTTATAACAATAGAATAAGCAGGTAATAACTTGTAAATATTTTATGCTGCTACTTTTTATTCACTGAATTTTCAATTCTTCTTGTGCATTTCTTTCAATAGTCCTTTCCAGAAGAACTGTTTTCTGTACTTCGGACAGTGCATCTACTGAGGGGACTTAGCGTTGGACTTGGAATCAATTATTCTTGTGCAGAACAGTGGAGGCCCTTTGCAGAAGAAGCTCTGTCCCAAGCTGGCAGATTAAAAGGTAGCACTAGGACCCTTGCTTAAGATACACATTTGATAATAGATGGCAATAAATCATCTAACATTGATTTAATTTTTTATAATCTCTTGCATTTCAAAATGCCATGCATTGCATGTTTTCTAGTGTTTTCATTCATTGGTCGCTTTTGATGTGCCTATTTCATATTAAGATATCTGTCCATCCTACTACAACAGCTGTATCTAATTATGACCTCACTTGACGTTTTAACAGCTAAGAATGTTAAGCCCAGAGACAGGTAAAATAGTTTTTGAAGGATCAAATAGGCAGATCTGTCAATCTAGTTTATTGATTTTGATTAACCGGACACTTCTGCGAAGTTGAAGAAAGGTAAATTCAAATTCTCTCTCTTATATACGGTAAACTAGTTGGAGATTGATGGTATTCACGATAAGATTGTGGTGTCTCCTCAGCAATATTCTTCTGGAATTTTAGAATGTTTCGGCATTGTACACGTTTCAGTGACAAGAGTAGTTACATTGCCATTGCCATTATTTGAAATTTTGAGAAAAATGTTTGACAAGGGTATGTAGTCTATGTACATTTGATTACTTGATTAAGAGAGCATCAATAGCCTTGCAACTCAACACAATATTTAGATGGCCCGGCCTTTTCTGAAATTTAACTGCTCTTTCAGACTCCTCTAGTGTAAATAAAACAAGTTTGGCAAGTTGCTTAACAAATTAAGGAACAGGGTCAAATATCCTAAGAGACTTCCTCGGGTTATTCATGAGTGTTGAAGAGCTTTATAACTTACAAGGTGCATCAAAAAATTATATTATATACAACTCTTTCTCCCTTTCTAGCCTTCTTTTCTCTGTATAATTAAGTATACTAATTTGTTGCCTAAATATATAACATAAATTACAGGTAGTTCAATCCTTCCCAAGGAATTCCCCATATTTTTGTATCAAAAGCATTATTCACCTGAAGTTTACCTGTATAACCTTCTATGTACTGACAAAAGTTATTTCTCAAAAGAACTGACCACACTAAAAAAATTAGGAATTATGATATTTCTAGAAACATTTATATATGGGTTTTCTATGCATAAAAAATTAATGCATAAGTTTTACTAATCATTTTAATTTTTTACCACATCAATTGATTTAATAAGAGTAATATATTATTATGAAGTAAAATTTTTACTTCAATTGGAGAAATATTTTCACCTCAACTAATGAAAATTTTGCGAAAAACTTTATGAAAAAAAAAATCATCCCCAATAAACATTATTTTTTAGGTATATTTAATTTTTAAAATTAAAAAAAAAACAGAAAAATATTTTTTGTCAACTTTAAATTCTTAGAAAACTATTTTTTGTCATGTACCAAACTTCTATTAAAGAATTATGTTTTGCACCAAATTCTGGAAGAGTGTTTAAATACATTATCGAATTATCATTTTAAAAGAAATAACAGCATACTCGTTTTGTTTCAATAGAGGTAATTTTGTCATATTATTTAAAAATAAAATGGTATGATCCAACTAGAAAAAAATAAATAAATAAGGGAACGATGCAAGTAGCCAGTGCCTAACTGTGTTAAAACATCACTCGTAAGATGGGCTAGCGCCCAACCTAAAGGAGAGCTGCGTGCTAGCTCTTTTGTTAGGCCTTGCATGACTTCTTTCTAAAACAAACATATTTCTAAAAACAAACAAAACAGAAAATACTCAAATCCTCCAAAAAGATGTGTGCGGAGCACGATTCCTGCGTAATTTAATTCAATCTAATCCGAAACTGGCGCGAACAAATTTTTATTCTCGTCTCTCCCTATTTATGCTTTTCTCTCATCTCTACGCATAACCCGACCCACGCAAAACCGAAGCGAAGAGAGTATAGAGATGTTCGGCAGTATCAGGGCATCGACTTCGTCACTGGAAACCTTAGAGGATTCTCCCTCCAAGATTCTCAAAGATGACTCCTTCTCCATCTACGGTACTCTCTCTTAATTCGCTTAGGTCGACGATTTTAATTTTCAATTGAAAAAAATAGAGTAAAGAACCTAAAGAAAATTACGAAATGTTTAGTTTTTGCGTGTTTAGATCCAGTATGAAGGACAATTACCTGATTGTGCACACTCCATACCACTCTTTGGTTTGGAGCGTGAGTGTTTGTCTATATGACTTGACGAATTTCTTGTTAAATTGTCTTCACTCCGATTCAGAGGCTACTCTCATGAAGTTAAAGATTGGTGCGCGAATCGATACAAGTGAGGTTATGGACGATTCTTCAGTTAGTTCACCTTGTGCTAAAGAAGTAAATCAGCCAGATGTTAATCCAGAAAGCACTTCGTGCTCCGAGACAACGATGATGGACAGAGAGTCTGAAAACTCTTCGCCTACGGTTACTGACCATGTTTCTAGTGGGAAATCAGATCAGCGAAGACAATTTAATCTTTCTATTTTAAATTTCTTCAAATTTTTAGATACCGGACATGCCTGTTCATCATCTTCTGCAGAGACAACAACTTCAACGGAGAATGGAAGTACTGAATCTATCTCGTCAACTTCTGTTGAATCTGATTACAGAAGTGAAGTGGACGGCGTTCAAATTTTGCAGGATTGTGAAATGTCAGATTAAAGATGGACTGGAAGCAATGAAATGAGTAATTATGTGCCAAGTTTATGCAACTATTTGTACCTTCCACTGCTTCTATCAGTTAAATCCATGCAAATAGTTTTCTGCTGTGTTGTACTGTATATCTCATCCTTCCGTTTACACTTCATGTATGTATTGTTTCAAGTGAATCAGGAACTGTTCTGGACCAATGTTTTAGTAAATTAAGAGTGTTCGGCAAAATCAGTGAATAAATTGGATAAGAATTGAAATGCTATTTAAAAATCGATAAGCTATAGTATATGTATCTCAATTGAACTGACACTGAACTAGACTGAAGTTTTTCTATAGCTTTAAAATTGTACACTATAAACCTTCGGCCAGTGTTCGTGTTCGTTCACTGGATCGACTCAGATATATGTTCACGAGTAAATCACTAGATGGTGTTGGATTTTCTATTTTTCTTTAATCACAACTCTTGGTTGCAACTAGCAATCGTCTGTTGCAGTGGCACTTTAGTATTCAGGTAACACTTCATTTAAATCTGACGTGACAGAAAAAGAAAATGATATGCGCAATAAGAATCCGAGTCAAGCAAAATTTAACAAAATTTGAGTAACTGTGTAAACACGAAAATTAATGTAGTTCAACATTTGCCACCGAAAAAATTGATCAGATTATTGAAGCTAGAAATGAATCATTGTAACCGGGAATCTGTGATTTATTATTCTCTCAGCCATGGTGCTTGAACAGGAGTCCATTCGCATAATTCGCCTTCCTTGAACCATAGAGCTGCCATATGTGGAAATAACAGTTAATCAGGAATCACATTATTATGGGTTCCATTTACACATTCCCCTAACTACTAAAAAATTATTTCCGAATGCGAATGTATCCTTTACTAACATCAGAAATTAGTGCCCAAAACTACACCAGATATTCAACGAGAAAAAAAAAAACATTTACTATCTTTAATAAACCAGATTATTTGGTTTGCAAGACATTTTTCAAAAGATTAAGAATATAATTTTATGTATGGTTACAACCTTAATAACGTAGACGGTAAGCCAGTCTAAGGCAGCATTTGATTTATTGGTAAACTAGATAGAAGTGCAGAACAACACTGGGTTGGATTATTGCATAGATCTTGATCAAATAATGTATCCAATATCTATGACAATTGTCAGTAGTTAAGCTAAGCTAACAATTGGAAATGTATCTTGATTCTTGAGTAACTCTCAAACAGTTGCAATTTTACAATCACAACGAATGAGCTAAATCATGTGATACTCATTTAGTTACAAACTTGGATCTATTCATGGTTTCAGCCTCCAAATGTACAGTTTTGGACAATGTTCTTGTATACTCAGCTCAAATTACTCTGTTCTGCAACATATATTGGGATCATAATGCTAATTTGAAGTTTTCGCTGTTATTTTTGTCCAACTACAAGATAATCAAGTGCAGGGCTAAACATAATAAAACAGTTAGGCCAATAGAATTATGTTTCATATTTTAATACCTTATACTGCTTTACTATGAAGTTGGAAGGTAGGATATTAGTTAGGATGCTATTATTTCGTAAGCGTTAGTATCTCAAGCTTATGATTTGAGTTTACTAGACTTTCATGACTTTACCTAAATTCTCAAGTTAAACAACCTAATAGGTGGATAATACCTCAAAATAACTCATCCAATCACTACTCTAAAAGGTATGGCTTATTGTCATAAACATTCTACTTTTTTCACCATATGTAGTCCTTTCACCATTCGATGGTAAGCACTGAAATAAAAAATCATTTGATATTTGCGAAGTTCAAATCCATAGGTCTATTCCCACAAAATTTCTTGGAAAGTCAAACTTATATCCAAAGCAAAACATGGCCAGAAATTAAAGCTGGTGAAGAAAATTTAAAATTCAAGCTTTGTTGTCTATCCATAACACTTCTGCACCCCTCTGATGTTTAAATCAATCGCTAACTTTTCCATTCTCTTTCACAGTTCAAATATGTTTTTGTTGCATATATTTTCATTAAACTGGATAGCATAAACTAACATGTTGCTTACCTAAATAGAACTAGATTAGGATTTTTTTAGCCAAGGTTTTGGATTCAAACCTTGTAGGTCGAAAAATGTGACTGAGAGATTAAATTTTCCCTAAAGGTGGTTGGTTAGATTTCTCAGAGATTGATCATTAGTAATATTCGTGAATACTTCACACCAATGTCAAGTTGACAAAATATATATATATATATATATATATATATATATATATATATATATAACATAATAGGCCTTACCTATTTCACGCTTTCCATTCTCGGGGCTGTCACTGCCATGAACAACATTCCTGCCAAGTCCAACATAAAAATCTTGTCACTCTTGAATATCGATACTGAAGTCAAAGAGGAATACACATAATATGCAGCCTATCTTGATTCTTGACTGAGTGAAGAATCTCAAAAGTGAAAGTTAGATGAAAAAGATTAAAGTAAAGGCCTTACCTTCCTGTTTGAACGGCAAGGTCTCCTCTTATTGTGCCTGGTTCAGCTTGAAGAGGATCTGTAGCCCCTATAAGTTTCCGTGCGGATGCCACTACTCCAACACCCTCCCAAGCCTTGCAAATATAGCAAAATGAGAAAACAAATTCAGCTGGTACATTACAAAAATGTAGGTGAAATTGGGATTCCACTGGTTCGGGTTTATACCATGCACACAACAGGACCAGAAGTAATATAGTCAATGAGCTTGGGGAAGAATGACTTTTGCTTTAGGTCCTTGTAATGCTCCTTGAACCAAAAAAAGTCACCATAAGCCTTATAAATATAATAAGCACAATAAAATAGACTAACACAATAGAATCAACATTACTGCAAACAAAAAATGTAAGTGAACATCATATGGTCAAAGCATTCAATCATTAAAATATTTATATATTAGGTTTTTCTAATTGAATGGTTGGAGCCAGTTATTCAAGCACTCCATATTGTTGCAGTTTATGCAACTACAATCAAATCAAACAGACTGTGCTAACAATTATTAGATACGTATTTCATTATATAATTTTCTATTGGAATTGTAACACAAAATGATTGATTCTAATATACTTTTCAAATAACATAACAATTAGAATATAACATAATATCTTCTGTGTATCTTGAAATGCCTCGAGAGATCTTTTCAATATATTGTGTATTCTTATTGTAAAAGCAATTTTATCTTCTTTTTTTCTTGTTTAATTAGTAAAAAACAATCATCTTTATTGCATGTATTATTAGTATAAACAGGACCACTAAATTAATATTTTGTATTGATATCATTATATTAATAGAATATTATTAGGAGACTCCATTCTCTATTTTCCTCCTTCCCTGTCTAAGATCCCATAATCAGACCATGGTATCCACCTTCAAAGAGAGCTTCTTGTCTCAAGTTTATGGAAAACATTAAATCTTAATTCACCTCCACTAAACCCAGACGATGTTGTTTTTCTTCTCATCTCTTTTCACTCTGTTCCAGCTAAACTTTAAACTATAGAATAATGTTCCAGTCCCCCTCTTACCACAGATTGACTCCGTGCAATCCTGTCTAAGAACATGTTGGCTCTATTCAAACCTGTCCTTTTCCAGATTGACTCTAGCAAAATATAGTTTGGCCCCTCTCCCATTGTGTGCTCTCCGATGAAGGTTCTCCTTCTGGCATGCACCTTTACAAGAGCACATCTCCTATTGCATGCGTTGCTGAACATAGAGCTACTTTTTGTGTTAATTTGTAACAACCTAGAGTTTATAGAGAAAGTGTTACCATTGTTTTCTCTGTGTATCTTTGAATATCTAAGAAGATCCTTGGACTTTTGTGAATAATTTAGTTTTCTAACAAAAGAAGGAATTTCCTTATTTAATTACAATTAATAGTATCATTAGTTTGATAAATTTCATTGTCATTACAGTTAATACTTTATATCATTTCATTTTCATTATTATAATCATCTTTGTCTCTCTTTTCCTCCTTTCCTACCTGCACCCTATAATCCCAACAATAAGAATAAACAATGCACTCAGACAACATGATATTTGTACAAGCAAGACTGCAGCAAGTACAAACCTCAGCTAATTCTTTAGAGCACTGGAAGAGCTTCAAGCCAGTCAACTTAAACCCCTTCTTCTCAAACCTAGAAATAATTTCTCCCACCTATATATCAGTTCAACACAACAACAAAATTCAACATTGTGAACAGGAAGTCATAAACAACATTATACAGAAACAATTGCAATGAAAAAATCAGGAGGCTTACGAGTCCACGCTGCACGCCGTCAGGCTTCACCATTATGTAAGTCTGGTCAACTTGTTGCTGCACAATAGAACAATTAACAATTACAAACACGCTTCTGATAAATTAGAGTAAGAAAATTGAAATAGTTGAGAGAGAGAGGAAACCAGAGAAGCAATTAAGTGGGGAAGGAAAATTGCGGGTTTGACGGTGGTTCTGGCGCGGAGGGTTCTGGCATAGGGTGGGGTGTGGTATGAGAATAGATGAGATTGTGAAGGAAATGGTGTGAGGTGTTGGTAACTGACTCGTGATAGAGGAATAGTGGTTTTGAAAAGTGTTGGTGAGCGTGGAAGAGATGATGTGACACAAACACCGGCGGTTCCACACACAGCTTCCATCTCTGTCTGCGGCTGCGCTGAGAGTGAGAGAAAACTACGGGTAAGAACCAGAATCGTTTCTCCTTTATTTGGATTTCATTCGCAAATAAAGAGACTTTTATAGTACATATGTTGTTATTTATATATTTTTTTCTACCTACATTAATTATTTGTATCAGATTGACCATTTTGAAGAAATTTTCAGAGTTTTTTTATTTTTCAAGAATAATTTTAGACTACTTCCTTATTTATACGTATATAAAAAAATACAAAAATTAAACTATTCTGTAGTTAACATATGAAATTCATGTAATTTCATAAAATAATATTATATTATTATATATAATAGTATTAATCTAAATAAAAAATTGTAAATAAATTTAGAATATTTATGTTTTTTATATAATCCTTGTCATGAAATAAGAAAAGAAAAAAAAATCTCAGAAACATTTATTTATTTATTTATTGGAATCTGTACAGGAAGATAGACTTTTATTTCTATATATATATATATATAAGGCATAGCGGTGTGTTAATTTCCTAGTAGACGGGAAATTCTATGATTTAATTTGATTAGATACATAAGAACAAGTAGCATAAGTGCGTGCTTGTGGAAACGTCGAAAGCAAGCATATAGATATCAAGAAATATAAATTTTATTGACAAAAATTCATATACTAACATAAAAATTGTCACTATTTATTAGTAACAAATTTTAATTATAAATAAATAATTATAATATTGACTAATTTAAAATTTGTCATAAATACTATGTATAATAATGACTAATTTAAAAGCTGTCACTATAATTTCATTAAAAATGATAAAAAGTATATCTCACAAATAATAAATTTAATTTTAAATGTTATATAATAAAATTATTATTTTTATAAAAATATAGTTAATATAAATTTAATTAAATATTTTTAAATTATGATATATGTATATATATATATATATATATATATATATATATATATATATATATACATTAAATTTATTATACCTTAAATTTCAACTGAAAATTTCCATTTTAATGAGTTAACCTTTTATACAACTACAATAATGATAAATTAATTTTTTATTAATAATTTATCATTACAATTTTGTTAATAATAATTTGTCCATAATATAAATATCTTTTAATTCCATTAGCTTAAATTTGTATTTGATAAAATTATTATACTATTTTTAACTTGATGGTCTTTTTCTTTGTTTTCGAAAAAAAAAACTTTTGTATCGTTTATCAAGAATGATTAAGTGATGATAAAATGGATGATTTTCTATCTAACAAAAAATATTTAATTTAGATAACTATTTTAATATCTACATTTATTCATTTATTTTAATGAATAAGATAAAAATAATAATATTTTAATTCAATTAAACCATATTACCAAGATAATTATCAACTATTTGTTGAGTTAATTAATTATTATGTTTCAAAATTTATTTATATAGACAAGATGAAAATAATAATATTTTAATTTCACTAGAATTACTTAAATTTTATATATAATAAAAGTATATTATTTAATAGGATCAAATGGTTAATATTTTTAATAAATAATAATAATAATAAATTTTCTTATCAAAATAATTACATCTCTATAATTATTCAGGGATTAATATTTTTTTTCTTTCTATAAAAAATAAAGACTTATATTTTTTCTTAAAATTAACAAATTTAAAAAAATGAATGGCTTTCTAAAATAAAAAGGTTATACTTAAATCTATAAATTTTAAAAAAATATAACTAAAAATAATTTTTTTATAAAATAACATAAAGAAATAATGAATTATCATGTTTATAATTATCATTAAGTCTTTTCTGTATGGTTTGATTCGATTTTATATAAAAAATAAATTCTTTTGTGACGGATAATATTAGTTACAAAATAATATGAATTTTTTTATAAAACTGTTTTATGACGATATGTACGACGAATTTATATTTCGTCACACAATTAAGCTCAAAAAACTTTTTGTGATGAAATTTTGTTAGATTGTACAAAGAGTGACAAAGATAATGTCAAAATTATAGGCGTTTAAAATTTTAAATGAGTTTTACCTGAACGAAAAATTATCTCTTTTAAGTACTTAACGAGAAATATTTCGTCTGATTTAAATAAGAATATAAGTGATTAAAATTTTTAAATGATGACAAATATATATATATATATATATATATATATATATATTTTGCATTTTTAAGTTATAATTTCAGATAAAATATAATAATATAAACTCAAATAATATAATATATATAAATAATATTATATGATAATTATTTGTCTTCAAAATATTTTATTCAAAAGAGTAAAATAAACATAAAAAGTAATAATATTTCAAAAATATATAAATAACATGTAATTAATTAATCAATTGTTTTATCTTCTTCTTAATCTTGTGAGAGAAATTGAAGAAAATGTGTTTCACCAATTACCTTTTAACTGCAAATGATTTAAAATATGGATTAATAACAGTTTTAAGTATGAGTGATTTAAGTGTGAGTTAATGACAATTTAAGTAAGTATAACTTAAGTATAAGTTAATAGCAATTTAAATAAAGTCCCTTAAATGTAGATTAACAACAATTTAAGTAATTATCGTTTAAGTAAATAAATTAAACATTTAAACAATATTCACTTTATTCGTATCTCAGCAAATTTTCTTTTTTACCTTTTTGATTTCCAAACAATCTTTTTATATATGGAAAAAATTATTTCATTTATACGCCTCAACCGTATGATATATTTCGTTTAAATGGTTGACACACGAATTATACACATTTTATTGCAATTAAAATAATCATCACAATTGTCAATATAAAAAACTATATGTGATAAATAATTTTTAAACGCTAGTATTATGTTAAAAAGGGAAAAAAATTATCAATAGTTAAAAACCATATCATTTAAAAATTAACAAACATTAAAGATATCTTTGTGTCTAATTCTTACCCTTCCAATCAATTCAAATTTTGTAACACAAAAATACCCTTTTCACTCTCAAAAACCCACCCTCTTCATCCCCTTCTCGTTCCTCTAAGAAAGAAAAAAAAAATACCAAAACTCCTATAAAATATTGAATATACTTTTCATCTTAGATTCTTAGTACTTATTAAAGCCTTGCGACTCTATATATTTTTCTTTGATGTAACCTAAAATACTCTTCCCAACACCTTGAAATTAGGAATAAACAATAAAAACTAGGTTGAAAACTCACTTTAGAGTGAGAATGAAAATGGTATACAGAATTAGATAATGAAAATAGAAATACAAAATCAGGGATGTTTCTTTATATCTGGATTGAATAAGATATTGCAATAATCTTGAGACTACAAATTGAATTTATGTGAGATGCAAAAATTGATTTTAAATATAATTTATTTAAATTAGACTTATTAAATGTTATAAAACTAAACCAATTGCAACATATCATATTATTACGGTTAAAATTTGTTCTCAGCATATGTTTATTAAAATTGGTACAAATAAACCTCTCCAAATCAATAAAATATTTGTAGTGACACACCCGTTAAGTGGTTGCTCACGTTTAAGCAGGTAAAACATACATTGTATTCTTGTTTAAGTAAGGTTAGTTTATCACTTAAGTTACACTCCTAAAAATTCTCATATTTCATGAGAATAATTTTTACAAATTTTTTATAAAAAGGTAAGAAATAAGTTTTCTACAAATTTACACAAATTTTTATATTGTAAAAAATAACTAATTTTTTAATTGTGTTAGACAAAACTTTCTTTTAATTCAGAAAAAAAATCTTTGCTTATGACTTAACAAATTTTAAAAATTGACTTAAATAAAATCAATCGCTTAAGTTAGATAAAACTTTCGTTTTTTTTTTAAATTCACTCAACCACTAAAGTAAAACAAATCTCTTGCTTAAATTAGTCAAATTTTTTGTTTAAGAAACGATGATAGACTCACGAATTAAATATTTTTACTTTGTAATGGAATAATTAATGACCTACATTTTATTAAGATGACAATTTTGTGAGGATGTTTTCTAAAACAGAAATACGATCGTTACACATTTTACCACAAAACTTATAAACTCAACATAAATTTTGTCATAATTTCTGACAAATTTTTGCTTGTCACAAAAAGATGTAAAAAATATTTTTTTTTGTGTATTTTATGATTTTTTTGGGATAAATTTTAAAATTTTGTTAAACATATTATAATAAAATAATTGTTAAATAAAAATATATATTATAAAATTATTATATATTCATATTCAATTTAAATAATAATAATAATAATCATAATACATAAGAAAATAGTTTACTCATTCGCTGAGTTTTATTTTATATTTTAATTTTATCAATATATATTATAATTTTATTTGGTTCAGTTTTTACTTTCAAATCAAAAACCAAACCAATCAATTTTAAAATTTGTTATTATAAAAAAATTAATTTTGAGTTGTTTTCAATTTTTTGGATTACATTTTTATTTATTTTAAATTAGTATAATGTTGAACATCCTTAACTATGATTCAATTTTTTTCATTATTTATTAAATTAATATTTTTAATATCATTGTCTTCATCATCACTAACTTCTAAGTATATCAATAAATTTTTATTAATTGTGAGTTATGTAGAGTCATTTTTATTAATATAACTCATTTTCATGTATTAAATATGGGAAAAAAATGAGCTAATATACCTCCTTAAGCTTCACCACTCATATATATATATATATATATATATATATATATATATATATATATATATATATATATATATATATTATCAAATTGTTTTTACAACAAATAACCAATTAAAATGATTGATATATTTAAAAAAAAAAAGAAAACACTTGTTTATATTGTTTAACTAATACACATGATTTACTAATTCTCAATTTATAATTATTATTATTATCATATAATCGACCAATTACATTAAATAAAAATAAAATTATGTTTTTTTTTCATGATACTGTTTACTTTTTTTCTCTTTACTTTATACTTTATATAGATTTATATTGTTTATCAATAATATAAAGATACCATATATTGGTATAAATTAAATCAAATTACATTTTAATATATATATATATATATATAAATTATATTGATCTTAAATATATTTTCTAATATTATTTAAAAAAATGTTAAATATAATCATATTTACTAGACGAAAAAAATTATTAAGAGATAAATATAATTAAATATATTTACACTTTTAAAAAATAAAATATAAATAAATATATTTATATTAATATTCAAGGAACGGTTTCAGTTTATATAATATTTAAATTTTTTATCATTAATTGAATTACCTTCAATTATTAATTGAATCACATCTTAATTATAATAAATTGTTAATAAAAAACATTGTTTATAATAATTTTACCCTACTAGTAAATACTAATACATTTAAATTTAAGCTCGTGTGCTTGATGCTCTAAAACTTTTCAGCTACCTTTATTTCATCTTTTTATGTTTAGTTGAACATAACTTCCTTTCACTTCGTGGAATCTGAATTTATTTTATATTAAAGAATAAAATTGATTTCATAAATATATTAGTAAAAAAACTAAACAATTAAAACAATAGAGTTTTGTATATATAGTTTAGACTTCTATCTCTATTTGTCAATTGGCTCGATAATTATAGTCTTAGGAGATGGAGAATATTTATAATATTTCTTTAGGTTTTTTTATTTCCTCCTATTGTATTTGTTTTACTCAAAGGTGTGAATGAATTATTTTATGACATTAATTTTGGTGAATACTCGAATTTCCATTAAAAGTTGTTTTGTTATTTATTTTTATATTAAAATATCTGAATTTTTTTTATCATATCTTTATATTTCTAAAATATTACTAATTACTAATTTTATTTATTTATTTTTATTTTGCATGATCAAAATGATACTGAAATTTATGATATATTTTGAAATCTTTTAGTGTTTTGAAATAGAAATTGATCAAGTCATTAATGTATATGATATTTGTATTTGAAATATTGTGAACATTTATCCTGTTTCAGTTTTGTTATCTTTTTTATTATTTAAGATATAATGGATAATTTATATTTGAATGTTTATTTATTTTATCATTTGTAAACTAATTTTCCCATTTATTATTTGTGATAATTATTAGATTTCTAATAATTTGATGATAAAATATTAATAATAAAAAATAATTAATAATTGTAATAAATGTTTAAAAATAAACTAATAATTATTTTAAATTTTTAATAGTCACAATTTATAATACTTCGATTATAAGATATTAATAATTAAAGTAATTAATAATTATGAAAAAGATTGACATTATTAAAACAATAATAATTATAAATATAAATTATTGAAAGTGACAAATTCTAATAATTTAATTATAATATATTATTATTAAAAATATAATAATTGTGATAAAAAAAGTAATATTAAATAAATTGTTAATAGTAATAATTAGTTACCGTTATTATCTTATCATATACTTGTTATTAAAATAATAAATTATTATTAATTATTAATAGTGATAACTAATCTAATTGTATAATAATGTATTATTGTCACTTATTTATATATATAATTACTAGTCACGACAATTTTTATTACAACAAATTTTAATTTTAGGGACATTTAAAAATATTTTCACAAATATGTCAACTTAAGTATTAGTGATAATTAAATTATCGTTACAATATATTATTAGTGGTAAATTTAAATTTTTTTACTAACAAATTTATGTATCACTAAATAACTCTTTTTGTACTAAGCATTGTTTTGATCAAAGTTTTGGGAACGGTTTACACTAAGCATCAACTGGAATACTTTTCCATTACAAGGATCAAAATTGACTGCTAGTATTCACCAATTTGTAACAGAAACTATAACTGTAATAATGGTTTGGCATAAATGAGGCTGCACAAGATTAGAACCAGCAGAAAAGGTATATATATATTAAAAAAAATTCATTCTAAAATAATAATTAAAAAATTATTTTTTTAAAATAATTTAATGACTAAAAATCATAATTTATTATAAATTTAAAAAAATAGATGTTAAAAACTTATTCTTATATTTATTTATAAAATAAATAAATATATTATCAAATTAATTTATAATGTATATATATATTTTTAATAAAATATTTTTTATTTTAAAAATTATTATTATTTTATAAAAAGTTTAGTGAACCTTAAAACTACCAATAAATTAGGAATTAGTATAATCTATGCTTATACAGGTTATACTTTAGATAAATTGAGTGAAAATTGGGTTAATTAGAACATAATTTATTTTTTTTACGAAAAGTAAAATATCTGACTAAACCTATTTTCATTCATATGAAAAGGATATATTAGCGTCTTTTGTATGGATTCTGAAGGTAGAAATGAACATCTTCCCTTGTACACCAACAGGATGAGTGTAATGTTCTTAATGACAATTTCTATTCAATTCATGATCCTCCATATGCATGATTTTCTTTAAAAATAAATTGAAATGAAATTATAAGAAAACTTTCAAATTAAGATGATAATTGTTACAAGTACCAAAAATTTTCTCCAAGTGAGAAGGGGAGACATAGTTATGCATTAAGACCATGATAACGATAGTCATAAGATATTGCAACACATAAAATTATCAATATACTACATATTTATTTTATTTTATTAACTTTTTATTTCTTTTGTCATAATTTTTTAGTTCTCTTCATTTATCACGTGGTTGTCATGTCAATCACTTTTTTCTTTTAAAATTGTCAATCTCTTTCACCTTGCATGCATATATATATATATATATATAACGACATTTTGTCATTATTTTTTTTTAAGATAATTCAGAAAAAATGTTAATACTAAGGAGAAGAATGAAAAGAGGGTTAAAACGCAACAATTCATTAAAAAAAATGATGAATTATTGATTTTCAATGAGATACAAAAATCACTTACTCACATTTTGAACACCCTTTGCTCAACAAGATGAGTATGTTGGCTTTTAACCCATAATTTGAGTAATGTATATATTTTCATGAGAATTTTATTAAAATATACCTTGTAATTTTTGTATTATTAAATAAAATATTAAATTTGTGGACTTTTATAAAAGCTAATTAAAAAGTTATGGAATTTGCGAGTCATTCACGTGCAGATCAAAGACCAAACACGAAGTTGATTATTCCATCGGTTCGATCCCCCTGCGGCCACCGCAGCAGCTGTAGCCACTGACAACGTAATTATTGAAAAGAAAAAAAAAACAATTATTCTCACCCAGATTTTTAGTGTGTTGGACAACACTATCTGGGTCTAACTCACAACATGCATCAGAAATCACATTATTGAATCAGACAACAGCTCCCATGAAACTGTTATTTATTGACATCGACACCAACTTAAAACTTCAGTGGAGATTCACCATTTCTTTAGCTCAGCATTTCCAGCAAGAAACCGCCACAATAGGCTTCGATTTCCATCCAAGAACCAAACACCCTTTCTCTTCCACCACCGTGTACCCCTCACAAACCTTGCTCTTCAGAAGCCACTGCTTCGCCTGAGCCACCATTTTAATCGGCGCAGCCTGAAACCCCGCCCTGCTCATCCTCCTCCGCCACTGGTCTACTCTCTCGTGCCTCTCCATCCTCAACGGCCCCTCACAGCTCACTATGTTCTTTATCTCCTCGGCGAAGTAAAACTGCTCCATCTTTGCCCTCTTAGTGTCATACTTGGGCAGCATAACATCCAATGAGTCAAATATAGCAGAATAATAATGCAATGATTCCATAAACCTCCCAAGGAAAAAGGGTCCGTTATGACCCGAATCTTGCTCCACCATCACCAACACTTTCGGCCCAAGCCCGTGAACCATCTGCAGCACCGAATTCAAAGCCCCACGGCTTTCCTTTACCACGCAATGCAGCTGCAGAATGCTGTTCACCACAAGAACCTCTTCTTCCCTCACTTCTATGTCCTCCGGTTTCAAACTTTCCAAATTCTTTTTCACCACTGAAAACTCGAAGTTGATGCCTAAATTAGTTGCATATATTGAGAGTTCGTCGCCAATGGATTGGAGTCTGTCGCAGAGCCCTACCCCCGTGATTCGCAGACGACGAACATGTTGGTCGTCTGTACGAAGGCTCTGCATCAGTGCTCTCCATTGGTGTCCATGTCTTAGACCGAGACTCATTCCAAGGTCCACGACATGGAGAAAACTCTCACCCTCAAAGGCTTCCAATACTATGGAATTAGCCACAAAGTGCCCGAATTGGACGTGCGGACACAGCTCGTAAACCAACCTGAATGCTTCCTCCATTTCTTCCGAGGCTGCGTCCATGATGTTCATTATGGGTGGCATCGGGGAAACGGGCCCGATGGGCTGAATCAGATTGAGCCTCTCGGTTAGACCTTGAACAAAACACGAAGCAACTCTTTGGAACGAAGATCCGAATACTAACGCGTTGGCTTTGAGTTCGGATAGTAATATGGAAGCGTGTGATTTGTCTCGACAAGCCACTGCTTCCGCACATGCTATTAGAAGTTGAACGAGCCTCACTCCATCATGACAACCATCTTCTTCAGCTCCACCACTTTCTGAACTATTTGTATCTTCTGATACCTCTTCTTCTGGTTCCGCTGCGAGATATCTTTGAGTGTAAGTCCGTATGTGATCTCTGAAATGGAGCTTCGGTATGCTATCCCTATTCCTATTGCTGTTGTTGGAATTAGTGTTGAGTAAACTATGGGAATTGCTGCTAAAACTTCCTAACCAACTGACGGGGATTCCAACGGTTCTCTTCACCCTTTTGTTATCCCTTATGGTTCCGTCGCAAAAGGGAAGAACTAAGGTAGAACTGTTACTCTCCGAAATAGGTTGATGAGGATAATAGGAATTGAGATCGGTTGCCCATATATCAAACACAAAAGGTAGATTTTCACCATCGATTTCTCCGTTGAAGGCACTATAAATAGGAGGGGCCATTTATGCAACCTTTTTCTTCTCTTTTCTTTCTAAAGATATTCAACAACGCTCTGAAAGAACCTCCCTTTAGACGATGCCTATATATACAGTAATACAATCGAAACCCATCCATGACGTCGCTGACGCGTTAGTTTCCTCGTAGTCGTGAAATACTATGATTTTCATTAGATTCATAAGAATATGTACTATGTAGCATAAGTTACATACTTGTCCTGTTGAAATTCAGCAAAGAAAGCATAGAAGATTATTTAGTTATCTCCGAAGCATCGTTTCTCCCAGGATTTTGGAATTTCGTGAAAGGTTTGCGATTATTGGTCGCCACACCATAATATATTTCGTAATTAAAGAACATTGTCCATTTTTTGTCGGTTTCTATGTTGTCCTTTTCAGGCACACAACTATGTTATACATGCATGGTAACATAGTTTCAACGATATTTAATATTATTGCAATTACTGTAGTATGAATTGAACCAAAGGAGTAGAAAATTTTCTATCTGCGGCTGCCGCACAACTCAACCTCTAACTCTACCACTGGTTCAGGCTTATCTGCATTAATTATGCAAAGCACCATTCTTCATAATGGGATGGTTTTCTCTGCTCGGAGAAAGGTTTGTGGTGAAACAAGTTGAATCCTTTGAATGAATCCTAATTTGAACACATGGAAGAAAAGGGTTTACACTATCAGTCATGGTTCTGACTGTGAGCAACTTTAAATGAGTTTTTTCCTTTTTTAGTTCAGTATACAAAACTAGTGATTAATCGGGTTTAATATGGAGAATGTGGACTATCCGTACTTGCAACTTGAGTTAATTATAAAAAAATTGTATTTAAAATTTAAATACAAACATTTAATATATTTTAAATCTTTAGTTTATTTTTAATAAATTTTTTTGTATCGGATTGTAAATGAAGTGGATAAATATTTTAAAGAGTGAAAAACAGGAAAAATCAATTAGATTGTGGATGAGATCAAACATTATTAGCAAAAATCATTTACAATTTTTGTCATTTAATGTGGATGAGATCAAACGCACTTTCTATTTTAATTTACATTGTTTTTATTTTCTTAGTTGAATATTGCTAAATTTTTTTTACACTTGAATGCGTTTTGTGATTATATTTTAATTGAAAAAAGAAATATAATTGGTACACCATTACACTTACATTTTGGTATAAATTTTCGTTATATCATTGAGGCTACCTATTCCTTTCACCATATTTTTATATCTTTTTACATACCAATCCTTAATTTAGTCTATAATTATCTACTAAATTGATTCTTAAATTTGAAAAAGTCATGTAATAGTTCCTCAAATTATAAATTAATCAATTTAGTCTTTAAAATTACAATAGACGTATAAATTGTAATTTTTTAAAATTATTTAATAGATTCGGTGATTGTGAAGAAGGAAACCAACAAGATCAGTTCAAACCTTTATTAATTTTGATCATATTTTATTGTCTAATTGCACTTTAAAGATAAAATGCACAACAATTTTAAGTAGATAGAACTTTAGAGTAAAATAGATGAAAAAAAACCCCAATTTGCTAAATTTTGAATGTTGAACGGAAAATTTACAATATATTTTTTAAGTATTAGTTATTTAAAGTAATTTTCTATCAAAGTAATAAGTTGTTTAATTTTTTTTATAATTATTTCACAAACATGCAAAAGTAAACCAATCAATAAAAAGAGAGTAAGTTTTTTAATTTTATTAAAAAAATTATAATAAAATAAAATCAGCTAATGACTTAAAAATTTTAAGTTTTTTATTATCTTGTCATAATAAATTTTTGTTTTACATTGTTTAAGATAAGAATCAATTAGGATACTCTTATATATTTATCAGTATCATGATTGTTAGATAGTTGACTTAGAGTTAATTAATTCAATTCACTATTTTAATTTTAGGACTTAAATTAATTATTAGTTTATAATTTCAAAATGATTTGTACACGTTAATTATTATATGGATCAAATTGATTATTTATTACAATTTTTTTATGTATTTTTTATAACAATTAAATGTAAATTAATTATTGATGTATTCTACGTTACCGATACAAATAAACTCGTTTATAATAATGAATTGACATGGCCCTTCACATTTTGTTCTTTCTCATATCAACAGTTAAATCTTCGTCAGCATATCTGATAGACTATCAATATTCTGTTGCTAAAACAAAATATTATAATCAAAATCAAGTCTCTTACTAGGGTAGTAAAAATGAGTTAAATAAGTCAATTGTATTAGTAACATAGTTTTTTTTTTTTTTTAATTTAACCAAAAAAAAAAATGCTTAAAAAGTTGAATTGCCGGCAAAGCAAGTAGCGACAACGAGAAAGAACAAACAAATTAAGGAACAAAACATAGCTGGGTTCTTACATAAGGAATTGTAAATAAGTTACGTTGCTTAATGTAACTTTATATTCTATTTGCACACTGTGTCTAATTATTTAGGAATGGATTATTAGTTTTTATTGCTCCCAAAACTCTAGTACTTTTCTCTCTCTTGTTTTTCTTAGACGAAGCGAAATTCTTGTTCGATGTCGCAACCATGAATATTCTATACCTTTAAAATGCTTCAAAACAACAATATTTATTGAAAAGGGAAGAAAAACACAACTATATATTATAAACAGGAAGAACTAAAAAATATTGTGTTCCATTAATATTATTTTCTCTTTTATTTTTTATTTTTTCAGATACAAACTAAATACTAGTAAATATTCAATGCAAATATTTATATCAACAAAATTTTTATCCATGATTAGTTTGTACCGGAAGAAACCAACTCCTTTCGTTTACCTGATTTTATTCTGTCTATCACTTTTTATTAGTAGATATTTATAAGTATTTGTAGGAATTTAAAACTTTAAAAATTATATAATAAATAAGTTTTACATTAAACATATAGCTTTAACAACTGAGTGATTTGCTCCTTATATAAACATGGGTCTTATATTTTTTTCCTATATGTAAGACCCGTGTTTTATTTAATGAAATCTTCTCCATTTTTTTTTAATTTTAATCTCCAAAAGGTATTGCGTTAAAAAAAAAAAAAAGTGTTTCATAATACTCTTAACACTCATCGTTACATGATGTTCATTAAGAATCAATGTATTGTATCTTTAGTTAATCTTTTCCATCATAAGTTGATAGAAAATAAGTATATATTTTCTCAAAATGAATAAACAATAGTATATTCTAATGAAAAAAAAAATCATTTACGGAAACTTATCACAATGGTAAGAAAAAGGAAAAGAGAAATAATAATAATAATAATAATAATAATAATGTCCGATACATTAAAATAAAATGCATATTAAAATTTTAATATAACACTAAACTAATTAATAATATATGAAATAGTATTTAAATTATACTATGAATTATACGATATTTAACTTTCAACGTATAACCTCCAACTGAATTAGGTAAATTGTATTTTTAACTCATAATCAATAAAATAATTATTAATTTAAAATAATAATCGAAAATAAATTAGATTTTAATTTTGATATATTTTAAAGTTTAAACGTAAAATTAATTATTAATATATAAAACATAACTAATATTTAAATCTTGTTATCCATAAGTTTCGAACACAAACCAAAGCACCGTGGAATCATGGATGGAGATTTTTGTTCTTTTTTTAGAATCTTCATTGTTATGCGACAAGGAACCTAGGATCCAAACCCAATGCCTCAGACCTGTCATCTCATATAACTATATTTATTTCACATATATTAATTAGTTTTGTGAAACTTTTTCGTAAGCTATGATGTAAGCAACACCTTATTTTATATAAATGGATACATATAAAATAGAAAAAAAAATGTTTCTTGGACATCTATAAACAAAAGAGAAAAATTATAGATGTAGAATATATATGACGCGATACATAACGAGATGGACATAAATTAATGTCACTGTATCAATGAAGTGTTTGTAATATTTAGATAAATACAGAAAATATTTAAAAAAATAGCAACTCTTTGATAGTTTAGTGTTTTCACCCTATATACTTTAACTCAATTAATTATAGAAAAAGAAAATCTTACTCTATAAACATCTATTCAAATTGATATTAATAAAAACGCCAAAAAAATATTTTTATTTTAATAAAATGAAAATTACTGAAAAGAGAAATATATGGGCTAATTTTGCCGGCTATTTATATTTTTAATCATATACAGAAACATGTTGATGAACGTACCAAATTTAAGAAGACAAAAATCAATCCTAACATAGAATTTAACTTTGAGAATAAATATATTACTCCTCATAAATAACTAATATTGGATATGGAAACAATATATATTGACTACATCGTAGATGAGTCTTGTTTTCTTGTTTGAGTTGCCTCATGTCTCAATCCTTTTGTTCGCAATCGTATGACATTTTCAACTTTCTTATTATGCTTACTTTGCTTTAAACAAAACGGTTATTTTAAAGTCAAACTAGAAATATCTATTTATTATTATTATTATTATTATTATTATTATTATTATTATTATTATTATTATTATTATTATTATTATTATAAGTTTAAAGTAAAATCTATTTTAAGCTAAATTGAAGATAAACAAATTAACATTTATTAATTTAACATCAATATTTTTTCATGGGAATTGATTATCACCTGCTTTTCTTTAATTAAAAAATAATTAATTTTATTTATATTTTTAGAATTAGTGAAAATTTTATCGTAAAAAGAGTAAGTGAACATAAATGAATATTCATTAATTTTTATTGTTAACACTATTAATTTTTTAGGGTCAATAATATATTATTAATAAATAATAAATGAATATAATATATTATCAATAAATAATAAATAAATGTGAAAAAAATATAAAATTAAATTTGTAAATATATAAATCAGTATATTTAATAATTATTATGTTTTTAGGAAATCAAAATTATGAATATTAATGTAAATTAAAAAAATTTAAAAATAATAATTAAATTTATTAAATTAAAATCATAAATATTAATATAAGTTATAATCTTAATTCTTTTCATAGAAAAAATTGATTTATAATACTAAAGCTTGGCATATTTTACGGGATATTAGGTCATTAAATTGTCCTGCAATTTTATTTTCAACTACAACTCACATATATATGAAAGGGTAATTCTTGTACACTGGTATAGTTCATGGCCACTTCTCATCATAATAATAGGTGGCAGAAACATCCATATTTTCATTATCTCGTAACTTCATCATTTGATTTAGATTTTCAGTAAAAGTATGAATATCTTATCCATACATTCTTTAACTCAATAATTACACTATATTCATACAAGATAATATTACCTATTTGATAACTACCTCTCTCACAGCTTAATCTCATCTTATTTCATAGTTAATTTAAGTGAATTAAAGTAATAGAAATATATAATAAAATCTATGATTATAAACTATTTAAATAAACAACAAATAAATAAAATATACCATATAAAAAAATGAAAATTCATCAAAACTGGAATGAATTATATCAAAACAATATCTCAAAATCCTAACATGATATCATTCGCATAGTTCAAAATCAAATTAGATTATCCAACCTTAAAAAACTCAAGTTTAAAGTTTTAATTCTCGCAAACGAATATTTAACAATAAATAAATTTAAGTGAAACAATTTTTTACACCATCTACACATGTATCATGCATTTTATACATGATTTACAATTATATCATTTGTATATATTATCTTCATGACCCTAATAATTTTTTATGTTTTTTTTTTCATTTAACCATATAACAAAAAATACAGTGATATTTTTGAAATTAAAATGAACTTTTTTATATTAGATTTTATATGATGTGACATAAAATTCGTTTTATATTTTCTCCAATTATTCATCTCTCCTTTTGAATAACAAAGACAACATCATGATTGTTATTCATAGGTGATTTTGAACATTTCTCTTCTATCGGAGCTCCTGTAATTGAGATTAATATTTTATGTCTCTATTTTTTATTAAAATTAAAATTGTGGTTATATTTGAGGTAATCATGATGATGTATGAATGTCTTTAATAAATTTATTGTTGTTGAAGAACTCAAAATAGAGAAGAAATAAGTATAAGAACTCATATAAAAAAAGAAGGAAGAATTTACTCCTCCATAACCACTCCTCCACAACCACCACCATTGTGCGAGAAATAAAAAGAAAACACACAAACACCCATGGTGTTGAACATTCAAGGACTTGATGTTGCACTTGATGAACATGAAGATTGTTGATTTTGATGATGATTCAAGAACTCAAAGACTTAGAGTGTTGAAGACTTGTTTTTGTAGTGTAATAACTCTGTTTTAATTAGATTGAGTCTGTAATTTTAGAGTTTGAGATAGCCGGTACATAGTCTGCAACTTAGAAGCTTCAAAAAGCCCAAATACATCATCCGGACTTCGACTTTAATCGATTATATAGGAAATAATCGATTAAAACAGTTGAGAAAACCATTTTCTATATAAACTCACTTGTTTTAATCGATTAAAACTTCAAAATAATCGATTATTACGTTCGATAATCGATTAAAACGCCTAATAATCGATTAAAACAGAGAGGTTTTGGGTTCGTTGTTTTTGGCTCTGTTTTAATCGATTATAACTCCATTTAATCGATTATTTCAGTCTGTTTTTGATTTTAAATTTCAAATTAACCCTATTTTCGAAAACCCAATTACCAAGAACCCTAGTTTCGAAATCCCCAAGTTCTAAACCCTAATTTCCCTACTTAAACTCTCCTTTGGCACTCTGAAAAATAAGAACAACCTTTTCCATACAAAAGTTAAGTGCTGTGAGTGCCAAAGAACTGTTTGTTGCAAGGAAAAGGGGCTTTTGGAACCTGGTGTGGGCTAGAAGCGATAAGAATCACTAAGTGGAGTTCTTAGTGGATTGTGTGCTGTGCCGTCTCTGGGGAAAGCTATTCTTCATCTCTTGTGGGTTTCAAGAGAGGTGTCATCTTTTACTTTATCTCTTCCATTGTAATTTGTATTGTAACAATTTGTTTATAGTGACAGCGTTAATCCTCTGTTGAGTGATTAGCAACTGGACGTAGGGTCTTTTGATCCGAACCAGTATAAATTTCCTGTGTAAGACTCTATCCCTTTCTCTATTTACATTTACACAGTTTTTAATCGGTAAAATTTGGGGAAAATTTTGAAAACCTAATTTTTATTAAGAAACCAATTCACCCCCCTCTTGGTTTTTGTCCAGATCACGCGAACATTCCAGCTGCGCGATTCTAACAAGTGGTATCAGAGCTTGCTTTGATAGTCATTCAAATTTTCGAAAATGGCCGGACAAAATCAAACTTTTGCCGAAGGTGCGTCTATCAACAGACCCCCACTTTTTGCGGGTCAAAATTATCCTTTCTGGAAGGTACGTATGCAAATATTTTTAGAGTCTGTTGATAGAGGCGTTTGGGACGCTATTTTAAACGGTACATTTGTTCCTAAAACTACTGAGAACGGTGTTGACGTTCTTAAACCTTTTTCAAGATGGACTGCAGAAGAAAATAGGAAAGCCCAATTTGATGTTAGGGCTAGAAATATTATTTCATCTGCTCTAACACTTGACGAGTTTTATAGAATTTCAGTTTGTAAAAGTGCACAGGAAATGTGGGAAATGCTAAGGGTGACCCACGAAGGAACTGACGACGTTAAAAGAGCACGTAAAAATTCCTTAATCCAAGAATACGAGATGTTCCGGATGCAACCAGGCGAAACGATATTTGACGTACAAAAGCGTTTCACTCATATCGTGAACCATCTCACCGGACTAGGTAAAATTTTTGACGTTGATGAATTAAATGTTAAAATTTTGAAATCTCTGGATAGGAAATGGCAACCTAAGGTGACGACCATCTCGGAGTCACAAAATCTTGCCACTATGTCTATGGTGGCATTATTTGGAA